ACACACGCATGCAGGCCTTGCTAAGCCCTGTTAATTTAGCACACATATGTGCCTGTGTGGTCTCGGTGTTTACCAGCGAATTGAAGTCGCCGTGACACCGACGTGTGACGTCATCAGCGCAGGTCTTTCTGTTCAAATATGGTAACCAGCGAAGAAGAAAGCGCCTGTTCTGCAGCGCTGCCACTCCCTGCTTCCACTTAGCCCCTCCCACCACGGCTTCCTGTTTCTCCAGTAAGTTAAGTTTCCCTCAACCCGAGAAGGCCGTCGATGACTAATTCACTCACATTACCCCTCGCTCGCCTCCTCTTCCACTTCCTCCCGTCGCGCTTGCAAACGGAGCAAAGTTTGATTCTTGCGTTAAGTCCTCTGGGCAGACGCGGCTGAAAAGCAATTTTCGGCTTGTGTGTCTGTGGGGGAAGGGGGAGGAACCAAGAACGGCCTGTTGCTAATGGGTGAAGGCGGCCATAGGGGGGGTGGGGATGAATACTATATCTATCACCCCCCCCCACACACACACACTGACAGAGTCAAACATCTGCCTCCCTGAGTCCACTAGACTGCAAGGCTGCAGCTCAGTACAGAAAAACATAAGCGGCGATGAGCTTTAAGCGAGGAGATGAGAGCGAGAGATAAAGCCAGCAGAATGGACCTGACGTAGATCCACAGAGAGAAGAGGAAGATAGGCAAATAGATGTCATGTTGGAAATGCACATCGCCTGCCATCTACGGGAGCTTTGTTCTTGCTTCACCACATCTTTGGATGTGTGTGCGTGTGTGTGTGTGCGTGCGTGTGTAATAGTAAAATGGGAGTAACGAGAAGTCAAGCTGGATGTTGCAACGCTGGGGGTTTTCACATTCACTAGCTCCTTAAAAGAAACAGCTATACATGGATTCACTGTCGAGGAGATTCAGATGGCGTAATTGATTATACGTATTATATCCCTCCATTAGATCAAAGTTTAGCTTAGCTTTGACAAACAGCTCGGCTCTGTGGCTGACAAAGGTCACACAATCGGCCTTGAGGCCTGTTAACATGTTAAATATTGTTAAGCCTGAAAACAATAATGGGCCGTGGGTATGGGCAAAGTTAATAATTTATTTCTACACTTATAGTAAGTGGACTATGAGAGTGGTATCAATCTTTTTATCGAACCTTTGGCACCAAAATGGCAAAACTTTGCGTTCGCTGTTGACGCATTGCCACAGACTTTTGCAGCCCAAATGTGCCCTCCTTCCTTTCTTTCTTTCTTCATTCGCCCCCCCACACCTCCATGCCCTGCCCTTTCCTCACGCCCTCGTCTTTGCAGTCTGTTGAAAAGCGGCCAATTGTTTGCCATCTATGACTGGTCAGAGTTTGGGGAGAGGGAAGCCCTATTCACCCCTCACCCCTTCCTGCCTCACTCCCTCCTTCCTCCCTCCAGCCCCCTCTACCTTGACACAGCCAATGGTGGTGGTGTGCAGCGTCATTGATCCGGGGATCACCGTGGTGACGGTCTGAGGGTCCGAGGCACAGGCCAGTTACCAGCTGTGTGTGTGTGTGTGCGTGTGTGTGTGTGCTGTGCCTGCCAGCTGGCCTGTTCGTGCCGCGATTGGATTAGCTTCCCATTTAGGGCCGAAATGGATCCTTAACCCCAACCCCCACTTCTCTCTCACACACACACACACACACACACACACATTTTATTGGACACACCCTATCATGGCTTCCTGACCAGTAGCTTGTGTCATTCATCAAAATGTACACAACACTAAAGTCTGGGAATTCTCTTCAAGGAGTTGAACTGACAAAAGCTCATGTTGGTCTCACTCCAGCTACAAGCCTGGAGCTCTAAAACAAAAAGGGGCGTCCCGGCGCCGACTAAGCACTAATTGTCATTATCCCCAATATTCGATCAGGGATAGATTGTTAAAGCTGAGTGTGATCAAGAGCTTGAAGTGCAGATATTACACTACTTCTTGTCAGACAAAAGGAGCTTCTCTGAAACATTTTTTATTTCTGTACCCCACACAAGGCCCCTTGTCCTCTCTTTTTCTGTTCCCTTTCCTGTGCACCCACCTCACTTCCTCCTGGTGTTCTGTGCTCCTATTGGCCCACAGTAGTGGCTGAGGTGCCTTTTAAGGTTGTGTGGTTTTTTATTCAGGTGGTGTGCAAGTCATGGACTGATGACAGCCTCCGTCGCCTTCACCATTAATGGAGAGCTGTCACAGAGCGAGGCCACAGCCCCGTGTTAAGACATCCCGCTGCGTTTAAAGGACGCAAAGACACACATATATATATATATACACGCTCGATCACAGCCTCACATTCAAAACAATGTGCACACAAGAAAAACACATGTATTGTGAAAGAACCTATAACTTTACAGCCCACTTGTATGGTGGTGATCCCAGGGAGGCTTATCTATCCTTCGCCATCTGTCTGTCTGGTGGGAGGGCTCCTCCTCTCTGATTGGCTCATTGCACGAGACGCCCGCCCTCTGATTGGCTCCTAGCGGAACTTTCCAGCCTCCTGATTGGCCCCTACGTTTAACTTCCTGGTCTCCCCTCGTCCCGTTGCTGCCGCTTCACCGGCGACCCCCCCGTCGCAGTGAGGAGACGTCGCCCCCCTCCGCACGCCCGTACATTTCGGGCCGTAGTCCGGTTGGACGTTCCCTTACGCAACGTACAGCCAGTAACGCTCCTCTGTCGCTCATATCGCTGCGTCATCGTCTTCCTCTCCTGGCTCGATAACCACCAACCACAGTGTGGACCAGCGGTGAAAGTGTAAAGAGGCATTTTGGCAGTGGGCCGCATCCCCACTTCTCCCCCCTACTCCCCCCCGGCATAGCAAGCCCCCAAAGATACGACTTCGCTGTGCGCATGTGCACGCGTTACTGCTTTGTTGCATTGTAGCACCTCTTGTTTGTGTGTTACTGGGGTTCATTGTTTTGCAGGGTGCATTGTATCATTTTTGTTTGCAGTTCCCACCCTGCACCCCCCTCTCTCTCACACACACACACTCGCTGTTTGAATGAGCTGCCTGCTCTGCGCCGATTGGCTGCCGGTGGCTGCCATATAAGGGCACGGGCCCAGCAGCAGAGGCAGGAAGTGGGTGAAGAGGAAGTGGAGAGCCGGTTCTCGGAGACCGGCAGGCAGAAGAAATGTGCTGCCTGTAGAGATTTCAGAAGAAACGGCCACGCCTTTCTCTGCGACCCCTCACCACAGTGTCTTTTTCAGTCTACTGCATTCCACCATGGCCTTCTCGCACTACAATGCTCACCCGTCATCCTCCCCTTTCTTCTGTTCTCCCCTGTTTTTACATCCTCTCCTCATTAGCGCATTCCAAAAAACAAACCGAAAGGTGTGGCAAGCTCATTGGTATTACATGCTGTGCTGTAAGAGGCCTCTTATTCACTCGCGGCAGCGCTCTTTCAGCTTAGTGCAGCGTACTGGCTTTGCTTTACAGCCCAGAGTCGGCCGAAGTCCACTCGAAGCTACGCAGCACCAGTGCATGGTGTCAGCTATGATGTAATGTGGTGATTTGTGACATGCAGCTGGGCTTTAGCTCCATGTCCCCAGTTTATAAACATAAATCTAGTTATTTTGGTTCTTTTCCGACTCAATAAAGGCCAATTTTATAGGTTGGCGATCGAGGCCCGTTCGGCTGTGAGGAGACCACGGTGGACACACTGCGGAGGTCACATCGCCCCCCCCCCCCCCCCCCAGCCTGGAAACACCTCGTGATCCTTCAGGAGAGCTGAAGGACGAGTTTGGAGAAGGATGAGTGACCGAGCTTAGTCTGCTCCCACCAGGAATAACCGGACCGGAGCGAGAGGTGGAGGAGGAGGTTGATAACGCAGACCATGAGGGTCATCTCCTCTTCTAACACCAGCAAAAAGGAGCTGAGCAGCATGGTCCGAGGCCTGAGAGCAATGCCTCTTTTTTACGCCACCGATGTGTATTTCTGACCCATTTGACACGGCGGCCTTGGCGTGGGCTTCAGAAACCGGTCATTCATGCGACGCACAGCATCGGTATGCGGGCGACGCGGAGTGAAGACGCCGCTGCTGCCAGCCTCATTTCACAACCGCTCCTCTCCCCCTCGCTCTGTGCAGCGTGGTTTGTGTTTGAGTTGGCAGGAGTGTGCGTTTGCAGTTATGTGTATTCTTTGTTTTTGCGGGTGTGTGTGTGTTTGTTGACATGCTTTTGTGTTTATGAGGCCGCACCCCCCCCCCACACACTCCTCCTTTAACGTCGACGTCCATAAAAGGAAATCTTTAAGTTTGTCACATGACAACAAGCTGAGGAATGTAAGACCGGTCACATGGGACGGTGTCTCAAGGAAAGCAGCTTCGTCCTCTGATGACTGTGAAATGATATGTGTGTCTCTTTGTGTGCAGATATGTGTGTGTTCGTCTCATTAGATTGCTATTTGCGTGCACCCACGGCAACTTCACGTGTATATCAACAACTCAGCAGTGAACAATGTTTCTCTTGTGTGCATGTGCCTTCCTTCGGTTGTGTGTGTGTGTGTGTGTGTGTGTGTTGCGTTTGTGATCACAGGGGAATTCACAATTCAAGAGATTTCACTTCTCTTTCAGTTAGGTTTCAGTAACTGGAAACTGCAGAGGAGGACGTTCCAATTTCCTTCTCAGACAGAAGGAGAAGTGTGTGTGTGTGTGTGTGTGTGTGTGTGTGTGTGTGTGTGTGTGTGTGTAAGTGTACCTCATCTGTGGTCTGTGTGTACAAAGGTGGGAGAGCCCAAATTTTCCAATTTTACATGAGGATTAGAAACAACAGAATAAAAGCCCTCACTTTCTGCTCTGCCGTCACTCAGCCCTGCGTGGGACCAGGCATGAAATAAAACCCTGTGTGTGTGTGTGTGTGTGTTTATGTAAGCGCAGTGAAAGAAGAGGGGGGGGGGGGGGGGCTGCTCTGCTGAGGCTGCTCTGTACTGCCTCCTACAGCCGCCGGCCCTCTAAGGAAACCACGACGTTGTCACTTTCTGTGACAGAGACGGGGACTTCCTCCAAAACTCAGTCAAGGCCTCGCACCATATAAGGTGAACAGTTGGCAGGACTCACTCAGTGGCATCGGTGCACAACCCTGAAGCCGTGTCTTCCACGTCGCCCTTGCGTCTCTGTGCGTGTCGCCCAGGGGGACGGGGACGTTCGGGGGCGACAAGACGCCGTGTGGTTGACATCTGCAAAAATGGACCAAAGGCACGAGCTGAAGTGTTCCTGCTTTGGTGTCAATCAAACTTTCATATCAGCGATTAGCCCTCTAAAATATGTGTTCGTTTTGCACACCTGGGTATTTTCTCCAGACGTCGCACCATCACGCCGCTGACACGTGGCTGTCAGGTGTTGCTCGCCATCTTAGATCAGCGCGTTAGCTTCTCAACACTTGCGAGCTAAGCAGAAAGCACAGTCTTAATTAATGGCACCAAATTGTGCAAACACATCTAATGACGATCCATCTGAAAGGTGTGGAAACATGGGACGTGACCATCAATAGATTTACGTGACCATCACTAGATTTACGTCACTAGAAAGTAAATAAAGTAAGTAAAGAAGTGTATCTCTACGCCGCTGCTGATCTTTGTGCCTGTGTCATCTGAGGAATGTGCCGCCCCACCAGCAGGAAATCGCTGCGCAGAACCTAATTCGGGCATCTGTCATCCCTGGCGGTTTGTTTTATCTGTGCGTGACCTCCGCTGACCGCATTCCCAACGCCTCACCTCCACCCCCACCCCCAGCTTTTATGGTCAGGGGGTGAAAAGGGGAGAAGGGCAGGTAATCTGGCAACGTAAGGACAGAACAATGAGGTGCAGCGGAGCGGGAGAAAGAGCAGAGATGGAGGAGGACAGACGGGGACGTCAGGTGGATTCATTCATGCTCCTCCTGTGACTCAGGCCACCACCACCACTCCTCCCCCCCAGCGACAACCCAGAGCCCTCCATCCCCGGCCTCCCTCCTCCACCAGCTGGGCGCACACACACACACCGCTGGGGGAAAGTGGATGAGGCGATGTAATGTCCGATGGTCCTCCTCTCGAGTGAAGTCGCTTCTTTTGTTCTCGCCTTACTCATTCAGTCCTTTACCCCTCCTTGTCATCTCCTAGACTTTGGCACGTTTCTCATGCGCGGTAATTAACTGCGCGTGCGCGTGTGTGTGAAGGTTAACAAGCTTGTTTGGCAGCAATGTGTCCCTCTTGCTCCTCCTCTCCCTCCGTGTGAGGCCGATGGCTGTGCTCCTCTTTCTCTCCTGCTCACTGTCACTTTCTGTCCGGGGCTTAAAGTGGGAACGCTGGCTTTGAAGGGCTGGTTCAAGCTACCTTCCACCAGGGAAGGATAAATAAATAAATAAGGACTGCGCCATAAGCACAAGCACACAATGTTTGTGTGTGTTACAGCTAATGATGTGGGATTCCCTAAGCAGAGTCAAACTCCAAATATGCAGGTCAAGAGGCGCTGCGTTATCCCTGTGCTGTTACGTAACTATGCACGAATGAGGAGACCCACAACTTGCAGGGTGTGCTGGGACATTCCGTGCAAGCAGCTGTTAAAGCTCTTTGCTGTAGAGGACACACATATAGGACACTGTTAAGAAGTGTGTGTGTGTGTGTGTTTGGTAGTTATGTCCTGACTAGAGGTAGAAGAGAGAGGGATTAGCTGTTTGCAGGTAGATAACTCGCTGCGCTGCGATTGGCTGAGGGCTGCAGGTAATCACCTGGGACCAGATTGCCTTATAAGGAGACTCGCGCTCACGGACCGGCGGCAAATCCCTCGTTCTATAAAACCGTGTTTCAAACCACCGTTCTTTTAATTCTCCTCCTCCTGGACTTTCTCTTTATCCCACCGCCCCACCCTGTCCCGTTGTTCTCTCCTCGCCGCTGACTCGCCGCCTCTTTCCACGCCGCCTCTTTCCACGCCGCCTCTTTCCACGCCGCTGCTTTGCGTGAAGCTTCCAGGCCGGCAGGAGACGGAGGAAAAGGCAGCGAGGGGCACCTGCACCTTTCTTGGCTCGTCTGATTGTAAGCTGATAACCTGGAACATGCTGGCAAGCTGTTACATAAAGGAGACGACCTGTGTGTGAGAGACACAGTAAGCAGCAGGCCGTTTGCTGTCTTCTTGTCCTCCGGTTTCCTCGGTAACGCTCAGACTTCTCGGTTCGTCCCACTGACATTTCCTTTGTGTGAGGTATTTGCTCGTGTCTGTGGTTCGTCCGAGAGGAGACCACGCTGTTCCCGGGAGGAAGTGGAAGATGTTGAGCTTTAACTCTTCTTCCTTTCTCCTCATTTTACAATGAATCACATTTAACATGAATAGTCCAGCTGATGTACATTATCGTGAAATGAAGCTCCGTGAGGAGTTTCTCATCTCTCGACTACTTGAGCAGCTCTTTGTAACAATTTATCACCAACACTTTGACTGCAAGGGTTATAAATATAGTTCTAATATATGATCCATCAGTCTGCACTGCGCTCAGCGCGAGTACTCATCCAACTCACAAAGGTTTCTATTTCTTTGGGCGGCTGAAGGGAAACCCGATGAGTCCTCTTGCATTCTGTCTCAACAGGAAACTGGTGTAATTCTGCTTTGCATGGAGGTCCGATGGGGTTCTGATGGACGATGTGTCTCCATTCCTGAATGTGCAGCAGTTCCTGGTTCACTCGGGAGAGAGAAGCTTCCTTAATGAGAAGTTGTTCCAATCATTCATTCCGGGTTAATGGACGAATGAAATCTGTGGGCAAACTAAGTTGTATTTTAAACACATGAGGTAGATCTGCGTCTGTCTGCATACTGGGATCAAACCAGTGAAACCACTGGTCCGGCCTTCAAAGGGGACTGGTCACTGTGTTTAAGATGGCAATCTGCACCAGATGTTAATCATCCCACTGTGTGTGTGTGTGTGTGTGGTGACTGGGTAATATCATGGTGTGGGCCTGTGTGTGTGTGTGTCAGCAGATGGTGTGTGTCTGTCACACTGTCACACACATGCTGCCTTCCATTATCAGTTCCCAGTCATCAATTATTCACAGCAGGGGATCGAAACCAATGGAGACAATTACTAAACAAATACATTCAAATACAACTCAGTGACATTTCACCTTATTTTCTTAAAAATGACAAAATACGTTTGAACTGATCAAACTGAGTGTGTGTCAGTTCATTCTCCTTAACAAGGTGTGTGTGTTTCATATCTATGTGCATGTGTGTGTACGTCAAAATAAAAAGACGCACAGCAGCTAAATCTTTCAGGGAGTCTCTGTAATAAGAGGCCAACAAAGAACAGCTGGTGTTGGTGCTCGAGGACGTGTGTGTGTGTGTGTGTGTGTGTCCAAAGAGGCTCTGTCAGGGGGCCTCCAACCCTTTGTTGCAAGGGGGCACATCATTAGCATCTAAACCTCCCTACTGCCCATGAAGAGAGATGAGGGGAGATGAAACGCTGAGGAGAGACAAGGGAAAAGGGGGGAGAGAGAGAGAGAGAGAGAGAGGGAGGAATTGGGAGAGGTGGAGTGAGGCCGGGGGAGGAGGGGACCCGGGGACACAACAGGAAAGTGGTTGCAATGACCGGTAACACCTGCCAGCTCAAATAAATGTACCTTGTGTGTGTGTGTGTGTGAAACCATCCATGTGAACATGTGTGATGCTCCCTGTGTAGCTGTGTGTGCGTGTGTGTGTGTGTGTGTAGCTGTGTGTGTGTGTGTGTGTGTGTGTGACAATGACATTGTTCAATAAGTAGGCGGGTGGTGTACTGGTGTAGTTCGCTGCTGTTACCAGTGGGTGGAGCAACAGAGCTCCTTTAGACTGCGTGAGTGACAGACACACACAGACCTGTGAGTCCTCCAACGTGCTGAGTTGGATAAGGCAAATATTTGTGTGAAAGCCATCAAGTGTGAGCTAAATACAAGCATAGATGTGTGTAATTAGTACAAAAAAAGAATGAATACACATTGTATGTGATGTAGCTGAAACAATCAAATACTATGGAATGTTTATTTGCTATAGATGTGAAAGATAATAGACAATATGAAAGATAATACCATGATTTAGGAAATATGATGATATCAAGATGGAAGTAGTATCATTTAGTGAAATAAATAACATGTAAACGGTCTTGGTCTTAGGTGAATGAACTGTTATAACTCAAAGAATGGGCGGCTCAGCAGAAGCTCAAACATCGGGAATGGAAACCGGAAGAAGCCCAGACGCCGGGTAAGGAAAGAAAAGCTCGCCACGGGGGGGGAATGGATGCCGCAGAGCACCAAAATATAAGACTTCATGGTGTCGTGGCACAATACCCGACCCACAGTCTCCCTGTCTGTTCTCCCTCACGGCTCTCATCCACCCTTCTCTAGGAGCTGAAGCCGCTGTACACCACCTGTACACCACCTGTGCAGCACCAAGGAGCAGACAGACACAAACAGCAGCCAACTGGTGAACACAGAGGAGCATTAAGCAGCTAAAGAGACCACAGCGGAGCTGAAAGAGTGAACAACTTTAGATTCAGTCCACTAATATGCAGATGATGTATCTTCTCACTGCATTAACTGATGTTTGGTGGAGTTAAACAAGCTGTTTTAACTCCACCAAACATCAGTTAGAAGATACATCATCTGCATATAAGTGGACTGAATCTAAAGGTGAGTTCATTTCCTAAGTTTAAATACTGAACACCTCAGAGATCAAAGAGTCGGAACAAGGTCTAATGGAAAAGGAAGGAGAGCTATTCAGGCCACTGATCACAGTGACGGTGTTGATTCATGAGGACAGGATGTGATGTCACAGGCCCTCGCTGTTAGACAGGAAGAGGTATTTTTAGTGGCATCCTGATCCTGAGTTTCCCTGCAGTCACTGCTGGAGACAGCCATCAGCCCCCAAAATCAATTCACACACACACACACACACACACACACACACACACACACACACACACACACACGCGCACACACATGCATAAACACAACCATGCGCATGCACACAGCAGTGCTGCATTTGCATGACCTTGAATAGATATTTGGCGTCTCATTTGTTCTCCCACAGAAATCTGTGTGTCTCACTGTTGGGGGAAGGGGCAGACGAATGAGACAGTTGCACACATAGCTGACCGTTGTGCCCACCACACAGACACAGACACACAGACACAGACACACAGAAACACACATGATTTCTAACATACAAGCACATACATACAGACACACGCCGACAAACAACATTCAGTTTTCCGCCCCATGGCTCACTGCCCTGTTTCTCTTGACTGACCCCATTTATTTCTGTTGGCTGCAGGCATCAGGGACGCAGAGACACACACACACGCACACACGCACACACAAAGCTACACACACTTCATAATGTGTTAAACAGAGGGAGAAGCTATGAAGTTGCTCTGCTGATCTTGGCTCAAATGCCCTGCTGTCACCATGACAATGAGGGGGTGGAGGAGCTGGAGGCACCCCCAAAGCACACACACATAGAGGCAAACACACACATGCACACACACCCACACACTGACCTATGACCTGACCGCTGTGTGTAGAATGGAGGCGGAGGAGAGGAGGGGAGTGTTTGGTGTTCCCCAGTGGCTGCAGCCTCCAGCTCTTTGTTGGTGGAGAGGAGGCCCTTGGTGGGGCTGCAGCTGTGCGCACACACACACACACACACACACACGCTCACACACACAAGAAAACACACACATTCCTCAGTGATTGCAGGAGACACCAGCGCGCACAACTGCCACCATCTCCCACGTTCAACACATTCACACATGTCTCAATAAAATAATAATGATGATGTTGAAACGAAATAGAGCAAAGTTTGACCAAATGAATGACGAGTGTCTCACAAACTGCTGCACAACGTTAAAAGAGTAGCTCAAATAAAAATGCATATTTAAAAAGGCAAAGGGTGTGCAGTGATGCTGGCAGCTCCGCGAGGGCCAACTCATGCTAACACCAACACGCTAAAATGCTCGCAATAAGAATGCTAACGGGTTTTTCCAGTGTGATGTCTGCCATGAGGGTTAGCATGCTAACATCCGCTAATTTGCTCATTTTTCGTCTAGCTCAGCCCGAGCTTAGAAGTGTCTATGGCTTGGAAATGACGATGAGATGAAAAGATGCCGTTTCACTCTCTCATCTCTCCTTCCTGAGTCATGTCCTCTGATCTTTGAGCCAAAAGGGATTCTGCGTTCTTTAAGCTTTAACGGTGCAGTGATGCACAGCAAGTAGGGCTCACATCTTACGACTGACTATGATTTTGACAGATGTGTTTCATTCTGATGAACATTTTTATAGGAAAAAATAGGACTCATCTCTGAGTGGTCTCCTTTGAAGATCCCTGCAGAGTCCTTTTGTTTCTAAGGAAACGCGATCCGAGCAACCAGACAAAGAGGAGTACAAGACCTGTGCCATCATGAAAATAATCAATACAGGCAATAGGAAGAGCCGCTGTAGCCGGGGATGAGTACAGAGTGTGTTGGGTCACCTGCTCCCCAAACCACAATCCATTCAGATACACAAAGACTTGAATTACATTCTCTTGTAGGCAGATTTGTGTTGTCTACCTGAAGCAATGTCACATTACGACTCACATACAGCACCATCTCACTTGTAACTTGAGACCGCCTTTTGGTAGCCAATGACCATTATGCGCATTGATGGCACAGCTACAATGTAGGTTAATGGAGAGGTTTTTCATGATGGGATCGATGTTGACCCAACATGACATATTTGCTTTTGCATGGACCTGCACACTATCGTTATACAATAGTTTCTATGACTGCCAGAAGGAATATGGGTTAAAAGCATCTTTGTTGTCCATTTATCCAGTTTGAGAGCCGTTACTAAGTGCTGTTAATAACCTCGCCACAGCGAGAATGAGGGAATAAGGCTACTAAACGAATCACACTTTGATCCAAATAGAAAAATATCTCACAATCTGGATGTTGGTTGGCCCACATTTTCCAGACACATCTGGAATGATGTGTCCTGATTGGTGCACATGGCGATGCGGCGGCGGAAAGCAACGCTCTGATTGGCTCCAGCTCAGAGGTGTGTGTTACACAAGTACGCCGATTGGTCCGCTTTGTGTCGTCTGACGCAGTGCTGCAGTGCTGAGCCGTCTGCAGGTGTCGTGGTGTGAGTGTGGTAATTGTGTCAGCGTGTCACTGTGCACTCTAACTTTGTGTGTGTGTGTGTGTCTGTGCCCGCTGCAGCAGAGCGCCCGCCCTCCATCAACCAACAGATTTGAGGCTGGTCTCCATAGCAACCATCCTCAAAGCCCGGTTTGTGAACAAAGATAGCTTTCCTCTCTTCCTCCGCTCTTCCTTTAGACCAGGCGTGCACAGGTTCTCCTGTGGCGAGCTCTCCCTGGGGAATCCTGTGCATGTTTGTGTGTGTGTGTGTGTGGGTGCAGACTCCCTAAGAGATGCACAAGAGACTGCGTGTTTGTTTGTGTGTCCGTGTGTGTTTGGATGAGGTGTGGTGTAATGACCAGTCATGCCCTATCAGGGTCTTCTCCAGATATGTATTATCAGAGAAGGGGAGACTGCGTGTGTCTGTGTGTGTTTGTGTGTGAGTGTCTGGTGTGATGTGAGTTAGGAGGGGTGAGGGGGGGGGGGGGTCATGTCAGAGCATCCCCCTTAAAACAAAAATTTTACATTTCCAACAATGGAGGCACCCATCTGGTGGGAAAGATAGACGAAGAATGAGGAGATATGCACCACGCTCACACACACACACACACACACACGCACACACAGTTATAATGCCACAGTGTTATCTCTCCAGCGGTTGCTGCAGCTTGTGTGAATAGTTTGAATAGTAGTGAATGGTGAGGGAATAGTTCCCTCACTTTTGACGAGGGCGGTGCTCAGCTATTACCTGTACGTGCAGCACTGGCAAAGACAAAGTTCAGCACTGCACTGAAAGCACCGGCCTCTGGTGACGGGTGCCGCTGTTCTGAGGGCAGTCGCACTGACTGCTGCTCGTCTGGAGGATGAACGAGGGAATGTGAGTGAGTGAGAAATAACAACGACCTGGGTGTGTTTATACCTTCTATACATTGTGCTATTTGTGTACGAAACCACAATAAAAATATAAAGCAGGCATATATCCACCATATCTGCACCGTAACATTTCATACATACAAGATTCAGAGTTGTATTTTTGTTACGGGACCTCAAGGCGGCGTTACATCAGCTCTGCCAACAGGCTACGAAAATCCACATAGACTTTGGGTGTGATGTCATCGCTCATGACGAAGACACCTCGTATTGTATGTACACTAAAACATTGTGCAACAGAAAACAAGCAAAAATGTACCAGAACATGTCTGCTGATTGTATTACTGCGGGGTTGTGGAGCTGAAATGACATTGAAATGTGATTTGTTTTGAAGATGTTCCGTCTGAAGATTGGATTTACCGCGGACTGCAGGAGAGAAAGAGACATTACCAGTGATTGGATTACATTTGAGGGTCCGATTACTTTCTGTTTGCAGGGAGGTGAAGTAGACGCGCTGAACTATTTCGATGCACACTGGCTGCTGACGGTCATAATTTATGATTAATAGTGGGAAAAAAGACAATTAGAAAGACAATCTTAATTGTCCATAAGAAGCAGAGAAGCAATAAAACAGGCTGTTGGTGAGAAAACGGCTCAGGTCAAACGCACCAAATAATAATACAATTATGCTTATTGATCCGTTCCAAGGTCAAAGGTCAGGGTGAGGCAAAGAGCTGGTGGGGATTTAATGTTTGACTCATCTGCTGCGCTGCTGAAAGGTTGTCTCTTTAACTCAGACGCCGACGTGTGCAGAACGGAGCTCTGTTTCCAGATGTGCTAATCTTAGACTTGCTCTGCATAAATGATGCGTGGCCTTTGGAGAAGGCGGCAGACATAAACCACCGCTCCCCCGAGAGGAGTGAGGTACGAACCGCTTCTTCTTCTTATTCTTCTTCTTTACCCACCGCCGTTTTCGTGTGTGTTCAAAAGACACGTCCTAAGTGTGCAGCTGCTGAGGAGGCAGATGATGACCCCCCCCCAAACGCCTCACACGCTTGTGTGTGTGTGTGTGTGTGTGTGTGTTTGTTTGAGTGCACGCTCATGCACGTGCACAGAAAAGATGCCAGTGTGATCTGTTTGGCCTCTTTGTTTTTCCTGCCCTCTGATGTGCGAGCTCGGGCCATGAATAGAGTTCTGTGTGGACGTCCTCATGATTCAAAACGCTGAGTCCATCTGATCAGAGAGAGAGAGACAGAGAGAGAGAGAGAGACAGAGAGAGAGAGAGAGAGAGAGAGAGAGAGAGAGAGAGAGAGAGAGAGAGAGAGAGACAGAGAGAGAGAGAGAGAGAGAGAGAGAGAGACAGAGAGAGAGAGAGAGAGAGAGAGACAGAGAGAGAGAGATGTTTGTTGGTGATAAACACCAAACATTAAACTGCATATTAATGTTTATTACTTTTTGGAGCAGTCATATGAACCATTCACACAGATAAACGGGAGGGGGGAGGAGGGGGGAGGCCGTGGAGAAGGGAAACAAAACTCCCAGTTCAGCTCCCAGATTTCGCTCCATCCGAGGGGGCGTGGCCGGCCGCGCCACGTCACTGATGCTTATATAGGCTGCAGCTGTGGCGGCGGACTCGCGCTCAAAGACTCCCCTCTCAGCCGCGCTCTCGCACGCACACGCACGCAACACCCCAAACAAAGAGAAGCACGCGAGAGGCAGCGCGGCATCGCCCAGCATCCCACTAGCAGAACCACCGCCCCCTCCCTCCCCCCCCACCCCTCTTTAGACGGAACCGGTCCGGTCCGAGAGCACAGAACCGACGATGACCACCAACGGCGCCACTAACGGGACCAGCGACATGCTGCAGATCCAGTTCGGTCTGATCAACTGCGGCAACAAATACCTAACGGCGGAGACCTTCGGCTTCAAGATCAACGCGTGCGCGTCGTCCATGAAGAAGAAGCAGATCTGGACCCTGGAGCAGAGCGGCGACGACTCCAGCGGCGACGTGTTCCACCTCAAGTCCCATCTGGGCCGGTACATCGCCGCCGACAAGGACGGCAACGTCACCGGGGACAGCGAGAGCCCCGGCCCGGAGTGCCGGTTCGTCATCACCGCCCACGACGACGGCCGCTGGTCCCTGCGGTCCGAGCCGCACGGCCGCTACCTGGGCGGCACCGAGGACCGGATCATCTGCTTCGCGCAGACCGCGTCCGTGGCGGAGAAATGGAGCGTGCACATCGCCATGCACCCGCAGGTGAACATCTTCAGCGTGACGCGCAAGCGGTACGCGCACCTGAGCGGCAAGGCGGACGAGATCGCCATCGACCGCGACGTGCCGTGGGGGGTGGACTCCATGATCACGCTGGTGTTCCAGGAGCAGCGCTACCACCTGCAGACCTCCGACAACCGCTTCCTGAGGAACGACGGCACGCTGCTCGCCCCCGCGGACAAGACCACGGGCTACACGCTGGAGTTCCGCTCCGGGAAGGTGGCGTTCAGGGACTGCGGCGGCAGGTACCTGGCTCCATCCGGGCCCTCCGGCACCATGAAGTCCGGCAAAGGCGCGCGCGTGGGCAAGGACGAGCTGTTCGTGCTGGAGCAGAGCCACCCGCAGGTGGTGCTGACCGCCGCCAACGAGAGGAACGTCTCCACCCGGCAAGGTGGGTGGAGTGTGTGTGTGTGTGTGTGTGTGTGTGTGTGTGTGTGTGTGTGTTAGGCCTGGTGGTCCTACTGGGGACCCCCTGGTGAGTGTGGGTTGTGTGATGGAATGTCACACGTGCACAGAAGGTTAGGATGTGGGCATGTTGATGACCTACGTATTCAGGCCTGTAACTGTATTTAAACGCAGAGGCCACATTCCAATATGTACCCGATCTTAAGACACCAAAGGTTTGCATCTATTGAAGCGGAACCCTCACCAACCCAAACAGAATTTAAGAATGCGAGCTGAAGGAAGGACGTTGGGCCTTGTGACTACATTGAGCAGCGTGTGCTCGTGTGCCATCATTCAAATGTAAAGCAGCCTTAAACTGGCACAGAGCCGATCAGCTCCACAGGGGAGAGGAAGACGCACGTTTTAGGTCTACAAAAATTAATACTCTGCTCCTTTTTTAAAAGAGTATTTTTCGAAGTGTGCATTTGACTCACTCATTGGAAATGCAATGCTCACGTGGCCTTATCGGCATGGCAACCCCTAATCGTCATGAGTAGATCTGCATCAGCTGAACTCTTTAGACACGTTCATGGTTCCTCACACAGTTCAGATATTATCTGGTTAATTTGCTTTACGGGTGTCTGCTTGACAGCTGTTGGTGTGCAAAGATGCAATCTCGTTTCCTCCACCTTCTTTCTTCCCTTCCGTCCCCTCCCAGCCTTTCTCCATCCCTTCCTCCGCCGTCCCTCCTTTTCACCTTCGCTCACTTTGCCTCCCTGATTTTTTTTTTTTTTCTCCTCATCTTTCATCTTTCATCATTCCTTAATGCCTTCTCCTGTCACATCCTCCCTTAACGCCCCCCCCCCCCCCCCCACTCCTTTCTTCCGCCCTTCAGGCCCGGCTGCTGCTGCTCTTGCTTTGTGTGTGTGTGTGTGTGTGTGTGTGTTATGTCACTACCAGCGGCTATCCTCATGTTGACCATTAAACATGAACCGGAAGCCCTTAAGTGTGTGTTAGTGTGTGTGTTGGTGTGTGCGCATTGAGCTGTAATAGGGATGTTGTTCCGATTCTCTACATCTCTGCTCAGAGGAACACACACTGAACACACCGTCCTGTCACCTATGTTCAGAAAGCATGAGCCTTTTTTTTTTTAAATCGTCTGCTCCCGTCCCTCCCCAAGCCTGTTTTGGTTCTGCCTCCCGGCTTTGTGGACTTTCAGACATTCAGCTCCGTCTCCCACACAAAATGGAGGCCGGGTTTGAAGCTGGACATCACGTAACAACTTGTCACGCCGTGAAAGCGCTGCAAACGATGGCGCTCTTAAAATGAGATCTGATGGAATTATACGATGACTCGCTGTGCTGAGATCCTCAAATGCACTTTCATAATACCCCAGTGAAACGGATGAGATCGCTGTCTGAGATATATTGCCAAATCAGATTATGGCTGCAGAACCACAACATCCTGCTCACACAATGATGCCAGGCTCATATCAGGGCTGCCATAAACTATTCTATCGTCTTTTTCTTGATTGATTTAATGGTAAAGCTACATTTTTGTCTGAAAATAGAGAAAAATAACCATCAATTTGACATTCAAACATCAACCTTTGGTTGAATAATCACAGAGGACTTAAAACATGAGTTGTGGCCATTTTTACCCAAAGAAAATACAATAAAATGATTGATATATATCTTATATCTTCCTCATACATTTGGTCGAATGACTAAATTGACAAATCCTTCAACCTCAAAAAAAAACCTTCCTCCGTTGTAGTAGTTTCAATAGGACGCGGTTTCCTCCATTAGTGGACTCGGGACTCCCTGAGCTCAGCTGTGAAGCAGAACTGGCCTGAGAAAAGGGTTACATGTGTGCATCAGTAATCAGGCCAACAGTCGCATGTGATGCCTTGCTCAAGGGCACTGGTGCAATGCAGGCCATGTCCTCTTTGCAGCTGGTTGAGACTCACTGGTTGGAGGAAGAGCAGCAACTGGGCCATTGTGACGTGGATTAAATGTTGAGCGCAATTAAACTGGCTCCAGATGTTTTTTCCAGCCGACAGCTGCTCGCAGCGCCTATTTGGCAGGCCGACCTCCACCAAGATGGCAACTTTGAGCTGGTCGGCTTTTCATTAGCGACCGCAGCACCAGTGGGTCGTCCTGAAGCCGCCAAATGACTATTTGGACGTTTCCGCCCCTTTGATGGCTCGTGGTTTACCTCCTGCGTTCCCACAAAGCGGCTAGTAAATATTATTTTATATAACGATGGCCAAACTACAAAAGAGACCCATGTTTTTATTTAAGTAGCTCCAATTGACAATATTAACATACCTGCGTTTGGCGTCAATCTGACCTAATTTGGGCGTAATATCTCTCCCCTTAAACTAGTCAGTGTTTTATTTATTTTTTTCCAACCAACACCTTTTGTCAAATTATGTCTGTGTTCAGTTGGTCAGAGGACCCGGACAAGTGGGGTGAAAAGTTCTGTGCAGTTTGAATCAATGAGCAGGTGAACCGGGACCTAATGTGGAGCTAATGCCTTTAGCAGTCGTCTCTTCAGGCCCTCGGCAGTGAAGCCAATTGGCTTATTTCACCAAAATGTCAAACTAACAACTGACCTCGCACAAGTTGCACTGAAAACAATCACTGTTTGTTCAGATTGCAGCAAGGAAGTCTGCAGCTTGTGCAGACTTTCAAGGCAAGCGCTTAAAAAAACATCTGATTTGAAATCAGGCCTTGAATCTTGTTTTGTGAACGCAGGAGAAATAAAGTGAGGCTTCGTGTTGTGTCTGTCTACGATTCAGCCCTGACACCCAGTCTATCCTTCACCCGCTGGCAGGAAATGAGACATGAGACGCACAACTTCGACCTTGGCCGGTGTGTGTTTAATCCCCGCAGGGCAGAGGATGGTGATTTGCTCCATCTACAGCTCATAAACCCACACTCACCCGACAGGGACGCAACCAATCCGAGCATCCTTGGTAATGTTGGCTGTCTGCTGACGCTTTAATGGTGTGTGTGTGTGTGTGTGTGTGTGTGTGTGTGTGTGTGTGTGTGTGTGTGTGTGTGTGTGTGTGTGTGTGTGTGTGTGTGTGTGTGTGTGTGTGTGTGTGTGTGTGTGTGTGTGTGTGTGTGTGTGTGTGTGTGTGTGTTGGGAGCGTGCCAGGGGGAGCTGCCTCATGTCGACAGCACCGTGGAGCCTCTCCTCCCTGATGTTGTCTACTTTGTTAAAGGTTAAGACTACCGGTCTTCTGGGTGTCGCCACATTTTTTTATCTCCGTCTGTTATTCACTAAAGAAAATATTTTTTTGTTGCTTCAGACTAAACTGAATGAGGTTGAAGGTTATTTAACTTTTTCCCCCTTTTTTTTTTTTTTTTCCTTCATTTGTTTGTGTGTGTGTTCAGTAAGTCTGACTGAGCAGTGGTGGTACAGTTGTGTGTGTGTGTGTTACAAAAAAGGCTGATGATCCGTCTCCCCGGTTGTGCCCCAGCTGGTCGCCTCCTCAGTGAGGCCTGCTGAACAATAGGACGCACACAACTGCACTTGATACAATGGCGTGCGTTCACAGCAGGCCTCCAGGTTCTGGCCAACCGCTACTGGGACCAGCAATCTGTGCCTGCCGCCATCAGGCGCAATGTGGTGGGTGGGGCGGACAGAAGGATAGAGTGTGTGTGTGTGCGTGGAAACTATGTGCGGTCACTTCTTTTGATGTAGTTTTCTGAAGAGGGATGTGGTGTGTGTGTGTGTGTGTGTGTGTGTGTAAGGGACCCTCTACCAGCCGATGACCCGTGAGCTTCTTACAGTGATCAGCAAAGACACATCTGGGTACACACACACACACACACACACACAGATAAAGGCTAGGGAGGCCTCTCTGGGTCACGGCTGAGGCTCTGCAGGCCTCAGGGTGACTGTTTTGTCTCTGTCAGTCTTATTTTCATGTTGTGTACCCGCCAGTGCTTTTCTGTCCTTGTGATAACACATGACCAGTTGTGTGTGTGTGTGTGTGTGTGTGTGTCAGACACTGAGCCTTTAACTGTAGTGGAGACAGACTCGCCCCCCCCCCAGTAACAGACTAGTCAAATATTGTCCTAACTTTTGCCTTGAAATGTTTTAACGCCTGTGAAATGTGTTGACTCTTTGACAGCGGTGGGGAAAAAAACCACCCACATAAATTCAAAAGGAAAAGATTTTGTGGGAATCATTTATTCAAACGAGCTCTGCAGAGGAACTGATGGCGATCGGTACACAGTACAGCATGTAAAGCCCGTCTTTTGATGGTTTCCTGGTGTATTTTCATATAGTGAAATGTTCTTCCCTTTGTGTGAGAAGCTGTCAGGACGATGACCGGCTTGTTTGTGCTTTCTGCTCCTATTAAATATCTTTCATGTTGACAAGTCCCAGAAATATAAGAAGCTTAAACTACTTTCATTTAATGGATCCACTCGTGAGCTGAAGGTTTACACACTGAGACAAATTGAATGGTTTTAGGGTGAAGTATGAGCTCATGTGTCTCATAAAGACTGATACGACTGTTTAATGTCTGTACGATAAATATCGAGCTTTCACCGGCAGCCGGTTTGCTTAAAGATTAAATAAGATTAAAATATTATGAATTAATGAGGTATTTTTTGTTCCTCAAGTGGATCCAAATCACTTTTTAAAGACTCAATTACAGTCTGATTAATAGATCAATGCAATAGAACGGATGGATCCTGAACAATTTGTTTACTCCTTAATACTAAACACGGTTCTACTAATTCGTGGCTGTCAGCTGGTGGAGGTTTACTCCCCCGGCCTCCGTAGTAAGTGCTCGCTGCGGAGTGGATGTGTTGGCCGAGCAGGAAGCGCTGATGATGGGAGTCGAGCGGAGGCCGACCCTCCTCTCTCCTCTAAGCCCTCCATGTGGTTCTCATTATGGTTGCGTGCGTGCGTGCGTGCGTGCGTGCGTGCGTGCGTGCGTGCGTGCGTGTGTGTGTGTGTGTGTGTGCGCACGCACGCAGCCTCGCATATTTCTGCAGAAACCCAATCTGCCGTCTGAGGCTGCAGTCGGTGGACTCTGCACAGGAGAGGAGACCCGTTATGAGAGCACAGCGTCGCTTGGTCCTACTTTTTAAATCAAAGCCCATCTTCGGCTTCAGTTGGAGACGATCGGCGTACATTTAGTGATCAGGTCCCATCTGCTGGGAAGGATTTTTAAATCCGGTTGGGGCCGACTGAGGAGGACTGAACTCTGTTTACATCTGTGAAGAGCAGCCATTAACATGTTCTTATGACTGGATCTGAACATCATGTCAAACCTGTCAACGTTGCCTCTGCTGGTAGAAATGTTTAGTAACTAAACACAAACATCCTGCCATATTTGCACTATGAGCAACCATCTCATAATGGACACTGAAAAAATGGGAAAGAAACCCCCCCCAACATTGTTGGAGGCCAACAAATATAGAAACTGTCAGCTGAAAAATATCACAACAAAGAACATTCTTCCAATTCTGACACAAGGATGAAACTGTTAATCATTATGAGCTGTCTGGTTTTTATTTTTAAATGTATTCCGAGCCGGTAGCGAGGCTGTGGGAGAAGCAGAGTAAATTGGGGGGGGGGGAAACATCTAAAGGGAGACGGGAGGGGACACATGAGCGAGCTGGTTTGTTTTCTCAAACACATCTTTCTTTTTCTTTCTTAGTCCGTCTCGCTCTGCACACATTTACACAGCGGCCCAACGGACCGTCCACGGCTCGCTGTTGGCCCTCCAGCTGTAGGTCCGTCCGCCGTGACCTCCTCCTATACAACAGCTCTCATTGTGTCGTGTGTGTGAAGGGGGATCTGCATCGTAGCATGTTCCTCTGCGTCCTTCAGTTGAATTGTGTTTGTTTACCTCTTTGTTGCGTTGCGTTCTTTCGTAGGGTTGACGGGGTCTTGATGAGGACTGGTGTTACGTGCACATAGTCGGATGTACGGACGACTATTTTTATTATTGATTTACTGTGTGATTCAGAGCAAAATGTTTTTTAGCTCCAGCCGTCTGGTCCAAAAACACAACACAAGTTGCGGTGACAAGTGCAGAAAATCAGCGCATTAGTCATCTTTTTGACGAGCAATGCCAATTGACCAGTCAGTAAGCCCCGCCCCTCGCTGCTACTCCACCAGGCAGCGTTGTCAGATATTCATGGTCTCAGGAGGATGCATCACATGTGGCCTTGTCATTAAGCATGTTGACCTTAGCGCTTAGCTGAAAACACAGCTGTGCCTAAACGTCCAGTGCCCATCTCTCAAAACTCACTCTATTAAAAACGCTTACAACACACTCGACATCTGACAGAACCGTGAGGAAGGACTTAGTTTTCAGATTTCCTCAAAGCAAAATGTGTCTCTTAGCTATTTCAATATCTAACGTTGACTGCATAAACACATAATGCAAATATAACCTTATTTCCATCCACACGACATTCACAACTTTTCCAAATCGGGTGTGGTGGAGGTGGAGGAGGAGGGGTGACTAACACGCGACGCACACAGGAGAAGCGCTTGCTATTTAAAACCATTGGAGGCGCTTTGTTATACATTATTTTAAAGCCTCACAGACCTGCACACATGTTGCGTAACAAATAATCTGAGGCCGTCGTCGGTTATCAAAATAGTTTGAGATTCAGTTTCGGGAGATGAACTGTTTCCACATTCACTGGAGATTATTGAGGCCTCTATTTTTTCTGTTTAATGTGTGTATTTGTGAAATCCTTCACTAATCCAAGCCCGCCTGATGTTGCTCATTTAGAGCGTCTGATCCTGACCAGAGGATGTGTGTGGGTGTGTGTTTGTGTGTCTACATCTGGACTGTTGGTGGTCATCCTCTTCGTCTATTTAAAGCCCTCACATGTGCGCTGAGCTAACGTCTGACCCACTAGCCTGTATTTTAACCCCCCGCCCACTGTCTGACCCCACACAGGTATGGACCTGTCGGCCAATCAGGACGAGGAGGGCGACCAGGAAGTCTTCCAGGTGGAGATATGTCGCGAAAACCGCAAGTGTGCGTTCCGGACCGCCGCTGGGAAATACTGGACCCTGACTGCTAATGGTGGCCTGCAGTGCACCGCCTCCACCAAGTACGCGTGACACACACACACACACACACACACACACACACAATATCCCATCATGTCTCCTCGTCACTCCCTGCCACACCTGCTCCAATCTGTCCACTCTCTAACCTCTCAGCGCCAAGCATTGTGTGGGAGAACCTGATCCTGGTCCGTCACAGCTCTTAGTCTGCAGTGCGTGTCTGCGTGTGTGTGTGTGTGCGTGTGTGTGTGCGGTAGGGGATGGATGAGGTGTGTGGAAGAGTTGAAATGTGAGTGAACTCATGGCTGCGGCATGTTTTGGGAGATTAAGTGCAGTCAACTTGTAGTGAGTGATTTTTCTTTTTATGTGCAGTGGTGGTTCCGCCCGGCCAGAGTGCTGGCTATTAACCCCTGACCTTTGACCTCACCCCCTGTGCTCCTGGATGATTCCCCTGTGAGGCCCCTCCCCTCGCAGGTTTAGTGGAGTAGACTTTTCTCGACCTCCTCCAGCACTAAGTGGAGCACTTGGCTCCCCTTTTTTTGAGTGTTTTCAGAGCTAGAAGCTGCAGGATGAAGAGCACGCGGAACATTTGATCCCGTGAGACCAGTCAGAGCGCATCCCTCCGGTTTATCTTTAAAAAAAACAAAAAACGGAGCAGATCGCTCTACAGGAAGTCCACCAAATTCCTCCGTCACATTCTTGACATTTGACTCCTCGCAGATCAGACCACAAAAATCTGCTCCTTCTGTCTGTCTCTCCTCTGTCTGTGGCTTGAGGAGACATTTTCTCATGTGGCACTAAAACCCCACTTTGTGCCCAGCATTAGCAAGCTCATCCCTCCACCTTAAACCCACCTATCCAATTACCCAGCAGCTCCTTAAGGTCGGGGGTCAACCAGCCGGGTGTCGTTTTCTCACACGTCTACCTCCCACCTACACGGAATCATCCTCCTGTGCGTTCCCTCTGCAGGTCGGCTAATTGCTACTTCGACATCGAGTGGCGTGGGAAGAGGCTGACTCTGCGGGCAGCCAACGGGAAATATGTCGCCGCCAAGAAGAACGGCCAGCTAGCGGCCACCATCGACTCTGCCGGTCAGTGAGATTTGTTGATTCAGCCGCAATGACGGACTAACTGGTTTCCTTTCCAGCCCAGATCGGAGGAGGAGGGGGGGGGGCTGGATGTTCCAGTTGTTTCTGGGCCTCAAAGGCAGAATGTAACTTGACTCTTTGTGGCTTTAGAGCTGCTGTCTTTTGCTCTGCTTGGTTGCCTCGTTGATGCTATATTAGTTTTTAAGTCAATCATTTGATCGGAAACGTCACGGCTAAACTCCCGAGTCACAGACGAGCTTTCACGAAAACACAAAACCCAGTCGCTTTATTCCATCACAAGTTTACTCTAATTCAGAGGAAATGCATCTTTATACGGTTTCCAGTTGGCTTTCAACTCCGACTTGCAGCAACGTGGATCAAAGCTGAATCTTTTTACTTTGTGCTGCAGTTTCCGATGAGCCGGCTGTTACAACTGGGCTCTTTTTAGGGAAGCCAAGTAACTTTGCATCCGTTTGAAATGAAACGAAAGCTCAAACGTTGCAGTAAAACAATGGCAGTTTAATTATTTGTGTGTTGTAATTGTATTTAAACGCCTCAGCACAGAGTGAAATAAACTGTTGGCGTTGTTGCGTCGTTACAGATGTTTTTACACATGTTGTGCCCCTCTTGTTTGCTCCCAGGTGAGTCCGAGGAGTTTCTCATGAAGCTGATTAACCGCCCGATCATCGTGCTGCGCGGGGAGCACGGCTTCATCGGCTGCAGGAAGGTGACGGGGACGCTGGACTCCAACCGCTCCACCTACGACTACTTCACCCTGGAGTTCAGAGACGGCGCTTACAGCCTGCAAGGTCCGTTTTATCCGCCAGCGTCTTGCTGAGGGGCGGGAACTCCTGAGGGCATCCGAGGGATTAAATCAAGGCTTGTGTTTGGGCCAAAAAGGGGGATTTGATTTGGATCATTTCCTAAATCTTTGCTTGTCCCACCCCCCCTTCCAGACTCCACAGGTAAATACTGGATGGTTGGGAACGAGCAGTCGGTGGTGAGCAGCAGCGACGCGCCCGTCGACTTCCTGTTTGAGTTTTGCGACTACAACAAGCTGGCTATCCGCCACGCCGCCGACGGCAAGTACCTCCGCGGCGACCACGCCGGCGTGCTGAAGGCCAACGCCGACGACCTGGAGACGGCCACGCTCTGGGAGTACTGAGGGAGGGCGTGGCTGCTGCGACGCCGATGAACGAAAGTGTGGCGACGCAGCACAACCCGTCCCTGCATCCACCTATCCCCCCCAACCCCACCCGTTCCTTATATTATATCTCGTACTACGACTTTATCTGTTGATGAACTACATAGAGAGAACATAAAGAAAGGACAGAGGCGCTCGTTTCCCTCGGTCCATCCCTCCCAGCTTCCCGCCGCCCTTCATCTGTTGCCATAGTCACCGTGGGGCTGTGCACTTTTTCTGCTCCGATCTGGTTCGCTGCTCGACCTGTCACACTCCTTCGGATTGGGCCGTCCCTCTCCCAGAGCAGAGCAGAGCCACATTTTAAGAGCCCCACCCCCCCCAAACCCTCCCTGCCCCCCCCACTACCCTTTCTACCCGTCTCTATTGTCTGTGTGAGTAGCACATGGTGGCAGTATTTATGCTTTGACCCGGTCAGCCAGACCTGCTTCTACCTGATCCGATCTCCCAAAACCAACCCACCGTCGGATCCAATGTGCTCCGGCTGCTTCCTGTTAGCGGGACGCGCGACACGGAGCCGGTGGGTTCGTCTCTGAGCGTTTTCGCGTCGCGTAGCAACAGATTTTCTGATCCGACCAGGCAGAGCGTGTATGTCTTTCATGAGCGGCGCCCGTTGCCTCGGCCTCATGAATGTGTGATAACTGGAGTGGATCTGATGATTATAGAAAATGATGTAACTTACGGGTTTAACCCCCCCCTCCCCCCTTATTCATCTCAACTGTAAAAGGCTCTAGTGTAAACCTGTTTCCTGTGTTGTTCTCTAGCGGTGTTCTCATTGGACCAAACAGGATGTAGGAAGCAAAAACACGTAACCCCGCCCCCCCCTATTGTCCCAAGACCAGTTAAAAGAAATTAAAAATAGAAATGGTGCGGTCACGTACTGTGTGTTTACTGCACTCCCTCGTCGTACTGGAAGAAGACCAGCACTCCCTGATTCCCAGTTGGATTTCTTTCTACGTCCAAGGCACAGACATTATCATGGGTACAGCAGGTAGCCATAGCAACGGAACGATTTATAATTCCCTTTTTGAAAGCTGCTTTTTGAATCCTTCAACCAAACCTAGACCTCAGACTTGATTTAGACCAAACCTTTGATACTGGATTAACAAACCGTCATCTCACACGCACACCTGAGGAACCTGGTGCTACTAACTCATGACACGTTAGTCGATTATCTCACGCTGTCTGGACTCGCCGCGTCTCTGCACATTAAAGCCTCGCCATGTAAGAGAAAAGGCTGAAATCGAGCCCTTACTAACCTTAATCTGCTGCTTCTTTAAATTTCATTTTTGTCTGCAGTATCATGGCAACCTTCATCATAAGATTTATTTTTGCTCATTTTTGTTGGATTTCTTTTGCGTTCCTTGTCCTTAAAGGTGGGGAAGGCATGTGTATAAAAAAGAAGAAGAAATATCTGTTATGCTTGCGTGTAGCACAAAGCACCCATGGTTTCTGTCTACTACAGCGAAGATTGGCACTTGGCCCCTAAAATGATTGGGCTCTTCCACCCGTCACCATCAAACATTCCTCTGACACTACGTACCCCACGTGGAATGATGCATGATTGTAGCCAGCTCCTCAACAAGTCTGTTTTTTTACGGTTTGAGCGTTTTTTTGCGCAATGGGTTGAGAATCTGAAGCGAATGAAAGGAGCTGTTTGCCCTTTGGAGAAACCTGCGTCTCCATGGGAACCAAGACCAAGGCTGAGACAAGCGGATGTGGAGGGGTAAACATGTGGTAATGACTGTGCCTTACACTTGGGTTTTTGGGCAGTAGAAAAAAGAAGAAAAAAAAAATTAAAAAAAAAAAAAAGAATCCACATCTTTGCTTTGTATAACTGGAACTTCTTTTTGTATTATTATTTTGTATATCATTTTTTTGATATTGTGGATTAACCTCTCTTGTGCCATTTGGTTCACCTGAAATCCAACAACCAATAAAACTGGGATTTGGAATGCTGCACGTCTTTATTGTTTCTTCTCTTCGCTTGACGAGAAACCGTTAATTACTGATTTTGTTCTGATCAGTTGTAGCTAACTTTAACTGTTCGTTTTATTGAAACTGAAACAAACTGCAATTATCAGGTTTAGTCCACTAATCCACAGCTCAACATTTCAGACAGCGGTTAGATCTGGGTTTTATTGTTCATGTTTCACAACGGTATGTTCAGGTTTTTAATGTTAAAATAGAAACCAATGCGTCTTGTTAAAAGATTTGTACATCGCCTTTCTAATCTTCCAACCACTTAAAGCTACATGTCGCTCACCAAAAGTCATGCACTCATGGCACAGCCTGCAGGGGGAAATTAGGGGTCAAGTACCTTGGCCAAGGTGAAAAAAACATTTTGTGCATCACGGTGCACATTTTCCATGCGTTTAAACGGGGCTGGACAGACACTGCCTTTTATTTTTGTTCTTGCATGTTGATTTAACACAAAACCCAATGACAAGTCATAGTTAAACCTGCCAATCATCCTTTTCCTGCCCCGCACATTTTCTCATCTAATCCCAGTGCTTCACTCTCCTGCCAGAGCCAAAATGGCTCCATGTGCACACACACGCACACGTATATGGAAACACACACTCTTTCCTGCAGCCTGAATAGACCCTTTGTGTTGAAATATTCTTTCTACTGCAGGGAAAAGGGCAACCCCCCCCCAAATATACACACATACATAAACACCATTCAGGCGGTAATGTAATGATGGAGTCTCTAATCCAACTCCCGCCCCCTGTCATGCATGCAGATCCCAGAGGGACACCCAACATGGCAAAACGAACACTCCAGCCCTCTGCTGCCTCTTCTCCCTTCCCCACCTAATCTCTCCCTCTCAGCCCGCTTTAACCATCCTCCCATCAATCCCTCATCCTCCCGCTCCCTCTGCGTTCTCCTGCGTAATTCCCCTCCCCCCAACTCCTGCTACAAAAAGATGAGTCACTCAAAATATGACCCAGATCGCAGAAATGGGTGCAGTGGTTTGTGGGTAAAGAATCAGGCGGCGCTGGCTGCCCTGTTTTTCAGAACAAATGAACGGGGGACTACGGGTGGGGTTTGTGAGGGAGGCTGTGTGCGAAATGGCCGCCGTCTCCTCCAGCCATTCTGAGCCCCCCTGCACCTCAACCGACCGCCTTGTTACCATGGAAACAGCAGCTGCTAGAAGCTGAGCGGTCTGGATCAAAGAGGCGGGTGGGTGTGTGGCGTCGCCAGGGCCAGAAATGTCAGAAAACATTCATTGCAACCAGAATGTGGGCCGACGGGCGCCTGGTGAGGCTTGTGTGGTGTGAGTGGGTGGGGGTGTGCAGAGCTCACGGGGGTTAGGATGAGGAGCCCTAGGGAGCAGCAGGAGGAGGAGGAGGAGGAGCTGCGTGGGGGCGTCTGCCTTTGATCAGAGAAGACCTCATCATCGAGGAAACGGCACAAGGCCCAAATCTGCTGATCTACAAATCTGTGTTCCACTGGTGTTCCTCCCATCTACTTCACTGCAGGACTGTGTGTGTGTGTCGTCTCTTCTATCTCATATGACCAACTTTCTGCTCTGCTCCCTCTAATCAAATCTATTTCCACCAGTGTTTTCCCAATCTCTGCATGGGGGGGTCACTGAGTCGCTCAGTAATCTCTTTAGTGGATGTGAAAGAGCAACAGGGCTCTGTGCGGGTTGAAAAGCAGGCTGACTGGTCGGCATATTTTCACATCACATCTAAGTGTGTAATTCTCAGTTCTAACTCATCGTAGACGGCCCCACAATTAATAACGCCGCATCAGCGCCGTTGGGCCGTGTAGGGACAGCATTGCTTTGAGCTCAATGCTAACGTAAGCATGCTCACATGTTGTTATTAGGATTTTGCCGCTGATTCAGTTTCAGGGGGATAAAACCTTCATTTCAAAACCTCAGTGGGGGTCATAGAGTCAGGAAATCAGTTTGACTTTCAAGAGAAACAGCAAGTGTGCAAATTATTCTGCATTGTCAAGTTTCCAGGCAGCTCTACTGAGTGCTCGTGGGAAGGAGTAAAGCATATTTAAAATAGAGAAACCAATCATCATGTAGGGAATGTTGTAAAGGCCAAAAAATGATGAGAGCACTGCAAGTTTGCAGGGGTGAAAGCCTACAGAGACTTTACCCGGCAGAGCAGCTGCAGAAAAGATCATTGGAAATACACACACACTCATTAAAGACACACACAAACAGTTACAGAAACAAACAGTGCCAGCGGAGGTGGAGCAGCAAAAATTGTCTGGGGAGCAAATGATGCCAAACACCAGCGGCCCCTGTGGATGAGGCAGCAGGGGGCTTTAATGTGTGTACACACACACATAATGTGGGACCCTTGGGGTGTGAAGGTTGTCTCGGTCACCAGAGATGATGAAAAATATGTGTGTGTGTGTGTGTGTTGAAGCTGGAACCGTTACAGACACACTCGCTCCCACAGAAACAGGAAGCTGCAGCAGAGCCGGCGTTTGTCCCTCTCGGGTCTCCCAGGAGACACGCGGGTCAAGTCTGGTTCGTATTTTCATCACCACACACAGAAACGATGATGAAAATCTGTCAAATAAAAAAACATCTGAGGCGTCCACTACACCAGCTATTCAATGGAAGGCCAGCGGTCAATGGTGTTATTTTACACTCTGATTTACACTATTCATGTCGATAAGCCAGTTTAAGGTTAAGGCTGATAAGAGACGCTTCATAAACAGTTACAATTAAAAGTGCTTTACGTTTCGCATGAATAGAGAAAGAATGATAAAAAAACACAAGTCAGGCCTGGGCGATTTAGATAAAATTCCATTGTTAAGATAAGTCAAAATATACAAGACAAGACAAATATATGTTGTTGACTTTTTATATACATCAAGGAATGGAAGTATTAAAAAATGTTAATTCCCAAAGCAGCCCTGCTCATATATGTGCAACATTGCTGACAATTCCTAATCAAACCAGGTGTATTAAAGAGGCAGAAACCGTGAGTCTGGTTGTTTAAAATGGTCACATTGCCTGACTGTTACAATGTTTGAGACTAAGAGGTATAACGTGCATAATCTTAAACCAGCATAACATGATGATGTTTAGCCTGTATGTTTACCATGCTAAACATCCTAGCTTAGTGTGTTAGCATGCTAATGATTACCCATCAGCATAAACGCGAGTAAAGATAAAGCTGATGCGCATGTCATTCATATTGCTGGAATCTGCTCATAAAGCAAATAAGTGGATGAGTAGATTTTATACGGAGGACAAGAGGAATGTCTGATACTGAAGTCTGTGTTTTTCTACATCTTCTCTCCAAACTGTTATTCACCTCATTAACATTTTGCTTACAGTGAGATGTAAATCTACAGTGCCTTCCTGTAAACATTACTGTTGCCTCTCTGTAGACAACATTTAAATACATTTTAAATTAGATTCTCATTGTGTATTTTTATTCTGGTTGTACTACAATCCTGAAGATAGCTCTTTACCTGAAGGCCCCCGCAGTTCGGCTGCAGTCTGCAACACGTCACTAGACGAAAAAATAGGTATCTCACATGCTGTCTCTTTAGGAGTCTCCACTATGTGAGATACTAGTTTCTAACTCTAGATAATCCATCTCCAACAGCACATTCATTTTTCACTTCAGAGTGAGTGTCACGTTGGTTAAGCCAGTCCTTTGTTCTTTCAATTAAAATGAGTCATAAGCAGATAATACTCTGTAATGCTATTTGACTGAAATCCACGACCGACGGACTCATCCGGATAGCGGATGGCGGGGGGGTTCTGAGGACGGTAGGTCTCAGGGCTCGTGTCCTCCTCAGGTTGCAGGAGAGCAACAGTGACAATGAGGGCAAAGGGTCAAAAGCTTTTGGAACCCACTGCTGGGTAAGTAGACCTCTATCGGTTCGGAAGGTTTTGAGGGGCCTTTTCTGTAAACAACCCTGCACAAATTAATTCAGTCAAGTCCAACATTAGTTTGCGTGTGAAAAGGAAAACATATGGAACATTTACACGGATATGATAATAAAAATTGGCCCTTTAATCCAGAAATACAGTTGTCCTTTAGAGAACCTCGGTTCAGGGGTGACATCCAGATCATTATGAATATTTGTCCTTGTGTGGGATTCCTCCACAGTTTCAAGTAACTTCCAGGTCTGATGGCTGAAGGTCCAGACATTCTCTAAGAACATTGTGTCTTCAAGTTGGTACCAGTCCGTGTACCAGTCCTACATCAAAGCAGGTAGTTCTTCTACCTGTGTCAGGTGGATGGCAGGTCCGGATCTTCTTGCAAGACCGGATCTCATCAACTGGCTAGAAATGTTTTACTCCTTGTGTAAAACATAATAACGGATCATAACAACATCTCAATGCAAATACTTAACATAATGATTTGTTATATGTCTTGTTTTCAAATTCAAAATTAGCTACATTGTTTTGTCCAGGCCAAATGTACTTGACACAATACCAATATCAGGCATGAACAACATTCAGCTTTGGCAATATTTGATAAGGAATAAAATCACACAGAGAAAGTTACTTTATATTAGTATTTGTTCCCCTTGAGGTGCTTGATATTCACACATATTCTTTACATGTAAATAACGACATGGCTAACACACAACAAAGCTAACATCACGTTAGCTCAGTAGCAGTGAGAAGCTAACGTTAGCTTAGCGTCGCAGGTGAAATTAAACAGAATAGAAACTGGCCTACTGGCTTCTTCAGTGAAACGACTTCAATAAGTTCGCCTTTTTTCTTTACTGTTTCAGACGTTTTGTGGAGCTCAATGTTGTTTTATGGAAGATGGTGGTTCACAGCTGGAGTATTTCATAACAGAAGATAGATAGATAGATAGATACTTTATTGATCCCTCAAGAGGGACATTTTTGTATCACAGCATGTACAGGGAAGAAAATTGAATAAAAAGATACACATTATATACAATATAATAAGATAGAAATATTAAATTAAATTAAATTAAATAAACTAAAACT